GGCATTTCATCGTGGTTGCGCATATTGGACATTTCCAGCAAGTACTGTTTAGAAATAAAAGATACTGATGCTTTGGCTTGATGCATTTCTGAACACATCCTTCAGCCCATTATTGTATTTTTAAACAGTTATTTATGGAGCAACACATTATAGTAACTATGTTTAATTTATTTACACTGTGAACTTTTTATTTATGATTCCAATCTTTGTCATTTTCACTGTAAACCCTCTGTTGACAATAAGTGAAAGTAGGTAAACATTTTCTGTTTTTAGCTGCGTCAAAATGAAGGATTTTAACGCAAAATCTTTCTTAACTGGACAATCCATTTTTGCCGGCTCCGACAAATAATTAATGCATTATTAAATAAAATAATTTTACATTATTATTGCGGATATGCTGCAGAAAAACATAGTTCACCGATAGAAAAATTATGACTTTTAAGAATTCTATACCATTTCTACGAAAAGTTTTTTTTTCCCCATACAAAATGCATGGAAAACTTGGGGCGCTTTGAGGAACCTCTAATTAATTTTTGATTTTAAAATAAAAAATAGGGGTATATTTTTTCGGTATAGAACAATCCTAGGGGGTAAGAGCATAAAAATTCCGACTTTACTTTTTCACGGGTATTTTTGGACCACCCTAATGCACATATGTTGTTTTGCCGCCTTCTGTCTAACTCGTTGTTTATTATTCCACTGATGCCAAATAACCATGAAAAGTTACTTATGTATATGATTGAACAGCACGTCCGAATGATAAAACTGTTTCATGATGCAATCATCATGGTTATTGCATCATTACACTTTATTTATTATCAAAATGAGTTTTGGTTAGTGTAAACGTTTCGCCATGCGCTTAAATTTCATATTAACCTACAACCGATAGAACCCAAAAGATGTAGTTATTAGGCCTTTCACACGAGTCGGCACAAATCCGAGCATAGCAGGCTACTTATCGAACAGGAATCAGAACAAAGTTCAAAAAGGGGGTTCAAAAATCTATCCCTTAACCAACTTCTCCATTTAACTTGTTCATGCACTTTTTTTGTCAAATTTTTTTTGTAACTGTGTGACTACCAACATATGTGCACAATTTCGCTTTATTACTCAATTATTTTATTTAAAAGTTGGTCTTATTACTCAACGAGAAATTAGATAAAGCAAATTTGTGTTATTTCTCATTCAATTGGGAAATAATACAAATTTGCGTTATTGCCGTTACCCCCCCGTTAGCTACATCCAAATATTTTTAAACCTTTAGAAAACACATACATAGTTAGCTCTAATTATATGCTGATTACCCCCTAAATGTGTATAAATTTGATATGAAAAAACAAAGGGCATAAGTTGAATGGACAAAATATGAATGGAACTGAATGACAAATAATGCGCAATGTAATAAACTTTAATTATGTGTAAAATAGGATGGACGTGTATGGATTAAAGTCAAGTGAATTGGATAAAAAACATGGTGCAATAAAATAAAATTAAAAAATAATTTTAAACATTCTAAAATGTATGACTTTATTACAATATGACTATAACGGCACCTTGTGAATGCCCTTATTGTATCGTGATTCGTGTTAAGAGAAAAATTTTAGGTGCCGAAAAAACTGGTAGAGCTATTGAGAAGTTATAGACGAAGGCAAAATCTCTTAAAATACGTGGCATTATGTCAGCCTAAAAAAAAAAAAACAACCCCTAGTACACATAATGGTCTACGTAAAATAAAAACATTTTCATATACAGTTATTTCAGTTATTTTCAAACACCGCGCCTACTTACCAGGTCTTTGATCGACAAACGAAATCACCGAGTCTTGTTTGACAAACTTTTGTCTCTTATATTCCAACATGGCAGCGCTTGTGCTGGGCGAACCACAATTATGTGCCGAATCCAACTTAAAACTTGTGCCACGTCGTGAATCAATTGACATGTTGTCCTGCACGGAGAATGAATCTTGCGATTTATCAATGCTACCATTCAATTGTCCACTGCGTCTTGCCTCCATATATGACACAATCGAATCCTGCTTGGATAGGGAAACTTTCGAACCATTACTATCCTGCTGACAAAGCATACGACGCGAACCATCACTTGAGGCGCTCTCTTGCTTGATCAAAAATTGTCTCGAGCCATGGGAGTCCTGTTTCAAAAGCATCTGCTGTGACAAGTTACTATCCTGTTTTAGCATGGCATTGTGGTGATGACGTCGAAGTGATTGGTGCTCATAAATATATGAGACAGCATTGGTTTTACGCAAACCGGGGCTGCTGGGACTTTTGCGAGAGCCATTGTGATGATAGTGCGACGACTTGCGTGTGCTGGTGGTAGAAGAAGCAATTGCAACATTGTCATAATACCTGTAAGCGAGTTTGTGAAATTAAATTATGAAATCGAAGAACCCACGCCTTATAAAGTGGAGACTACCTTAAACGTCCGCAGCATGACCTGGATTGTAGAATAGCTGCAAAACCACGACGATACTTCTTGTTGAAAAAGGCGTATAAAATTGGATTGATGCACGAATTGGAAGAACCCAGCCACTGAGCAAAGGGTGTCACTTTATTTAATACTTCGCTTTCCTCCACTGAAATCTCACCACCTGCAAAATTATGCAAAGCATTCGTTATGTAAACAAATTGTATATTTAGTTGGTAATGAATACTCTGCGCTTACCAAATTTAATTCTTGCAAAGATCACATAAAGTGGCAGCCAAGACAATACAAAAAGTATAACAACCGCCACCAACATTTTGATC